GGGAGCCACTGTGGCAGGTGATAGCTGATATAATGGTTATTGTAGGTCCATACTTCCAGTGGAAAAGCCAAATTCCTGCCATCATTTTATGCTTTAAAGAAGAGAAGAATCCAAAGGACATTTACAAACATGTTTTTAGAGTGTTCACAGGTATCCAAAAGCTTGACCAGTTTCAGGCTTAGTTGAAAGTCATGAATGTTGCTGACTCTACTTCATTTTTCCAATTGACAAAGAGGCCCACTGCTTGAATGGGAGTAGTGGCTTCTTCTGGTTGCCGCTCCCTGAGATGATGATGATGATCAGTTTGTGCTTTGACTGGGCTGGCATTCTGCTTCCATGAGAACGTCTGTTCTAACTGGTTGGCAGGCTGTGGTGTGGCTCTGCTGTGTCCTGCGCGAATGTGTGATAACCCCTGTTTTGACTGTTTGATTGACAGGTCTGCCCCGGCTGCCGCCCCAGCTGCTGCACCTGGAGAAGGGGGAGCTCCACCTGCCCCCCAGCAGCCCCCCAACCTCACCAGCAACCGACGCCTGCAGCAGACGCAGGCCCAGGTGGACGAGGTGAGCGGGCAGACGAGCGCATGGGCTGGCCGTGACAGACTCGCCCCCCGACAGACTGACTTGGCGCTCCTTGCTTTGACGGTCCTTCACGAACGCGCTGGCGGATCTCACGTGCTGAAACACCCGCAGATGTATGGGGATTCGCAGACACCAACAGACAGACTGAAGCTCTGAGCCATGCACTGATACAGAGAGTTTAGACCCAGTCAGATGTGCAGAGTGCTCAGATGCACTAATAGACCGACACAGGAATTGTCTCGAGTGGGAAGGGTGAGAGCAGTAGATCCTGTACTGAGAGATTTGCCACTTCCTGTGGAGTCCAGTACACTGACACAGCCCAGTCACAGGGCTCTAGACTCTCACAGTCCCTGTGGAGTCCAGCACACTGACACAGCCCAGTCACAGGGCTCTAGACTCTTCTGTATAAAAGCAAACCTCTAGTTCTGGGGA